CAGCAAAAGAAGATGCTGGGATGGACCTGAGTGTCTCAAATGTTTTTAGAATTTTTAGGTAGGGAGATGTGTTTCCCACTCATTCATAGAAAGGGCAGCTGACGCTATTCAGCTATTTGCACTACAGCTCTCTCTAGACGTGTCTGACATTTGGAGAAAGAGTGGTGAAGGCATTAGGAATTCAAACTGAACTATATTTGGTGGAGATCCCCTTCTGGTTGGGCGTTCTGAAACTTCCATCAATAGGCAGCCAACTTCACATGATTTCCTACTGGAGCTTATTCTGACAGAAGATACCAACTACCAAACTGAAAACCAGCTGGTGGTTGCGAGCATTCAACAGCCTAATTTCATTTGTCTCATGCAAACAGAACACATCAATGCCTTACATGGGGTCTTACAGAAACTTGAGATTTAGGGGAAAAAGCCAAGTCTGCAGACATTTGGGCCCTTTAACAGCTCCCACAGCAGGCTGCCCCTCTGTCAGAGCTCCGCCAGCGACAAAGGCTGGCACGCTCAGTAGCTGTACGCGCACAGAAATCTGCAGGCTGTGTCATAGTTTAACTCGATGACCTCACCTCTGTCCTTGCCTTGGTGATCTGAGCGGGGCCCTGGTATCTGCAGCTCCGTCAACTGACCGGCCGTGCTAATCGCTCACAAAGGCGCCGTGTTCCTGCCGGACGGGCACTCGCTGCCTTTCCCTCGGCTGGTGCAGCTTCTCAGGGGCTGTGTTTCATTTCCCTCTCTGTAAAGCAAGGGTTGCCTTCAGCTGCCTGCCCGTCAGGTTAATGCAGCAGACCTCACCAGTAACGTCTGGTAAAGGTAAAAGGACAGTTTAGAAGTGCTGGAAATAATAATGGAAAATACCGCTGGGAAGAAAAATGTCATCAGTAAGTATACAAGTGATTGGAAATTTGGAGGAGAGATTGGCTGTGTACTCCCAAAATTCACTTCTCGAGTTCTGTATGTTTCTTCTGTGATCACAAAATGAAAAACAAAACAAAACAAAAAACAAACAAAAAAAACACCCAAAAAAACCACCAAAGGAACAAAACCCAACCCAAAAGAAAATACCCTCCCCACTCCTCACCAACAAAACAATGAAAAACCCAAATCAAAACCCCTGAAACCCTTATCTTCAAAATGTAAAATGAAGGTAGTTGTAATTTATTCTAAGGAGAAAGAGAAGAGAAGATAAATGAAAAAAATGCAAAATCTTGATAACACAGAAGATGTCGGTGGAATATCCAGAGCCAGTAGAGTTAAATACCCAGATTAGGACAATTTGAAAATGTTCAGGTACGCTGAAGTTTGAATTTCCCCTCCCGCTGTAGTTGTCCAATAATGATCATGGTAGGGCTGCTGTTTTTTATGTAGGAACAGAGGACTGGGATCTCCTGGGTTACTGAGTCTGTTCCCTTTCTTTCGCTGGCAACGCTATTGTTTAGTTTTTACTGTAAAATCATTAAGTATTGTTAAAATTCTTTCAGAGCTTCCTTCCAAAAAATAGGGAGATACAGTTAACTAATTCTGTCAGTAGAACAGGAAAATTAATTTTATAGCAGTCAGAAGCTGAGAGAGATCAGGTAGCAAGTGTAAAATACTCTCAGGTATCCAGAGATTTAACACCAAATGCAGAAAACAGTGATTTTAGCTGTTCCTTTATTTATTTGTTTATTTATTTTTTAATATGAGCAAGTCTCCAAAAGACTCAAGGTAAACATTATGCTGGTTTTAGAAGTTTGGTATAAATGGCGGGGTAATGGCAAACTTAGCCCCAGCTTAACTGGAGTGCAGGAGCAGAAGGATGGGCTGGGTGGGTCTTGTGGTCTGTGTTGAGTAAGTTCCACCTAGATTACGTGACGGATACTTGCAGCTCTTAGAAAACCGTGGATCAGCTCAGAAACAAAAAGCTAACGCGGAAGGTTGAGCTGTTGGCAGGTAAATGTTACTGTTAGCGTGCAACACCGCTTTTTCCAGGTGGTGTTTTGCGCACTTATACTAACTTCAAAAGCACCGTCCTGCGGGGAGATGGCATCTCCACCAGTTCCACGTCAGCTGTCCTTCCCGAGGGAAGGCGGCACGCTCGGTGTCGCTACCCCTCGTTTTGAAGAACTGGTACCGAAAGCACTGGAGAGGGGGAAGAATCTTACCAAGGGTGTGTGTAGGCACCAGGTAGAGGGCTGGGAATCAGTATAGCAGGATGTCTTGGACAATGCTGATCCAAGTGTTCATTCAGATTAACTTTCCTAAATATTGTAATGTTAATTTGTTTATCAGATGTAACCAGAAACTTCCCTCTGGATAAGCAAATCAAAAGAGCTGGTTAGTCCTTTCATTTTGAGTGAGTTCTGATTTTTAGGATGTGGAATCATCAGCCATCATGAAATTTTAAATATTATTTGAGGAAAAAAATTTAAAATAGTAACTTCTATTGATACTTTTACCGAAGTAAGGCCTAGTTTCCAGGAGATACGCTGTGTGAATAAGAGGATTTAAAACTTTTAACTTTTTTGTAATTAAATAGGAAAATCCCACTGATTTGAAAGTAGTCCTTTTTCTTATCCCAATTCTTTCTCATGTCCGAAGTCTTAGCATTGTGTTTCAGAAAAGCCCCGCATTCAGAAGCTACTGGCATACTTCTTGCAGGTTAAATTGAAGTCCTTCATACAGTTTTTAAGACGGGAAGCTTCCTTTTTACCCTGTTGGAAGGTGCTGTTTTCTTCAATTTCAGTCCTGAGTGTGTGTTGTTAGCCTTGTGACATACTCAGAAATACATTTGAGACTTTAAAATATTTTGATCAACTTAAAATCAGATCTTACTTTTGAATGACATGTATCTTAAATCTGTTTCAGGAAACATCCGTAAGTATTAGAAAATCTTCATTGGATATTTAATATTTTTTCTTTTTTTCTCCTCCCCCCCCCCCCCAGTTCTCCTGCCTTTGATAGATCGTATGGGAGATGCCAAAGACCAAGTTCGAGAGCAAGCACAGAATCTTATATTGAAATTGATGGACGAAGCAGCGCCGCCCATGGTATGATTACTTAATGTAGATTCAGATGTAGGCCTCCAGTGAGCTTATGACTTATGCATGAGCTTGACTTTGAATATGTCACAATGTTATGGCGACTGTTAATGGTGTAAATGTTGAAGATATTCTTAATGGATTGACACTGATGCATTGTTCAGCTAAAGATAAAAATCTGGCACAGTGCAATTCTGCAGTTTTTGCATATCACAGTTAAATACAGAGTAGATGTTTTCATGTCGTATGGCAGGACTTTGTTAATTAAAGCATGTTTTAAGCAACCTCCTGGGTTTGCGTTTGCATAATGAGAACAAATACGTTTATTTAGCTCTGAATTTATTTTAAAACTAGCTTTGTAATTGAACACGTAGGAGTAGTCCTGCAGCTGAGATGGTGCATTCTAACTTAGAAAACTGGCTTTCTAGATATATGACAAACATGTTGCGTGAACCTTTGACAAATTAACATGGGGATAAGTTTCTCTCTGTCGTCTTAGAATGAAGTTTGAGTTAAGCAAACCTTTTTACAGTTCTTAGCACTATGTGACTTCTAAGTGCTAAATCTTCTGTTTCTACTGTGTGAGTGTGGAAAATGTGGGATTGTTTAACAGGATTATATTGTTAGAGCAGTGATGTTATTTGGAACTCTGGAGACCCTGGTTGCCAGTCGGAACTGCTATTCAAATTTTTAATTTCTGTAGAAAATCTGTTTCTGAGTTTTACGTGCAGAAGTTAATAGGGAACGTCTTATTTTTTGTGAATGAAAATGAGGTTCTTCGTGTGTTAATTCCTGGCTTTGTTTATTCATAGATACAGGTTTGAATGTTTGTGTGCAGGGAATAATATTTTGCAGACTGCATCTGCAGTGAGAAAGTTGTTCTTGATTGCTTCATTTGCCTGGTAGGAAAAACAGGTAGCGTGTTAGGCAACTGTAGAAACATTTATCTCCCTTCAAGCAGGAGGTATTTTCTCACATGACTTGGTCACAGATCTGAGCAGGATTTAGGCATCAAATTCTAGTAGTGTCATCCACAAGGACATGCCTTTACCTTTTCACGAGATCTAGTTTTGATCGTATTCATTGACAAGAGACATCGCAGCATTTTTTCATGCCTAAGTGCAAGTAGTTCATGAGTGCCATGTTCCTGTGCCCAAGATGCTCTGAAGCACCTGGCCTGCAGACCTGAAGTACACCTACTTCTACAGTAATGACATTGGGATAAATGCACAGCAGAGCATCTTGGCGACACATTTATTTGAACAATTGCTGATAAAGAATGTGGTGATAGCTGCTTCATGCTAGGCCCTCATCATGACAGAGTTTCAGATTACAGGTCCACCTTTCAGTTTCTGAAGTTTTGTTAGGTTGTACGCTGAGGTGATGGAAGGAAGCTTCCATACCTTTTGGAAGTTACCGACAGTGTAAAGTGCCCGACATTGTAGGGAAGAATACAGTGTTCATGAGGTCTAAGGAGCAGCCTGTGTAAATAAGAGAAGGAATGGCTCTTCTGGTAGCCCCCCTAGGGTGGGAGAAACATGGATTCAGGTGTCTGCTCCCAGGACAGCTTATGTATCATTACAAATGTTTACGAAAAGCATCAATCATCCTTGCAGCAGGGACCAGAACAGAAAAGTCTTTCCTGTGCTGCCAACGCTGAGGTACAGACTTTTAGGCTCCCTTTGTTGCAGAGAAACATCTGATCGTCTTCTGGTAGCCCCCCTAGGGTGGGAGAAACATGGATTCAGGTGTCTGCTCCCAGGACAGCTTATGTATCATTACAAATGTTTACGAAAAGCATCAATCATCCTTGCAGCAGGGACCAGAACAGAAAAGTCTTTCCTGTGCTGCCAACGCTGAGGTACAGACTTTTAGGCTCCCTTTGTTGCAGAGAAACATCTGATCGGAAAGACCTGTAAGTTTCTTCCTGATGAACTCATCTGTCTATTATAGTGTGGTATGGAATAATATTTAATTAGTCCTGGTCAATTCCCTTTTCTTGTTTTAAATGTGTTTGGATTTTTGGAGGGTTTTTTGCTTTGTTTTATATGAAAGAGAATTAGATGTAGCTGGTTATGGGCAGGAAAGCATAAAAATAAGAATGTAGGTGGTATAAATGCATGAATGGGACAAAGGAAGGTTGACACCAACTGTTGCTGGCAGGTTGTATGAGCTGAAATTTCTAGACAGCCATTTGAATTTCTCTGTTTAGAAGAATTCAGCTCTTAAAGTAGGGTTAATTTAGGAAAAAAACTACATTTCTCTTCAGTCTGCTTTGTTTGTTTCCGTATTCCACAGTTACCTTTCTACCTGTATTTCCGTACATCTAGTAAGGAAATTTCCTTTTTTTTGTGTTTGTCCAGGACAGTGGGTTAATTAATTGGAAGGATGTTTTCTTCCGTAAAATCCTGTTCTTTGTTGTTAAGCTGTGCAGTTTTGGCAAGCCATGTCCTGCTTGTCTAAGGTTTGTTTTCTCTAAATGCAATGAAGTATAAAACAAACAAGAAACCACAGATGGGACAAAATGATCAAGCAAGGCTCTAATTGGAAAATTTTACGACTGCTATGAAGTGTGCTGCCTCATTAATAGAAAGGATGCAGCATTCCCGCCTCTGAGGCTGTCTGTTTTTGTTGATCAATAGCCATTTGTGAGGTGTGTGGGTTGCTTTTTTTTTTTTTTCCCTCCCCGAAAGGACGACTGCAATAATTTGGATCTAATAGGTTTTAGCAGATTTGCGTGGAATCGCTACGCGTTGCGATTGCAGCACTCGAGGGGCAGGAGCGAGGGTGGTGCCCAGGCTGCAAAATGTGCTGTTGCCAGTGTGCAGCCATCACTAGGCAACGCTCCCCGCGGATGCGGATGCTCGCCGGCTGGCGGAGGCTGTAATGGCAGCGCTGCAGCTGGGGGAGCTCCACTTCGGGTCTGTGCATCTGCTCCGAAATACCGCTGGGAATCCCAAGTCTCGTAAGCTTCGCGTTTACACTTCTTACACCGTAACGCACAGCTAGGGAACGACAAGGCGGTGGAAAGGTAGAAAGATAACCCGAGGAGGGGAAAGACTGAAGGCAGGCAATGAAAAACGAGTGCGCAAGAAGGTAAGCGGGGGTTTAGTGAGCCAGAGAATCGTAGTACAGGAAGTGGCACCAGCACAAAAGGAGAAGCGAAAGCAAGCAAAAATGGAAGCAAAGGAATTATAACGAATGGGCAAGAAATAATTGAAAAATGAAGAAGAAAATTTCAAGCAGAAGTAGGAGAGAAGTGGACAGCTGGGGTTTGGATAAGGACGAGCTAAAATGGATGAGAGGAAATTTTGGCAGGGAAACAGAATATGAAGCAAAAAGAATATAGCAACTTCTGCTTGAGTCAGTAGTTTGTACGTTAATGTTTGTTTTGTGCATCTTAACTGTAACAATTCTGCATGTCTTTAAGAGCTCTTTCGCAGTAAAAATACTTAGCTAGATTTCTGAAGGATGTTTTTTAGAAATTGTTTTGGCATAGGTATAATCTGTGTTGTATTCCATACTGTGCAATTCATAACTTAATTTTAATTTTAACTGAAAAGGGCCTTTACTTTTCCAGTAGACCTGTCTGCTTTTATTTTTTTGCAACTGTTATGAATGTAATTATAAAATAAGGATAGTATTACACTGTATTGTGCTCCTGGTAACCAAAGGCAATTACTTCTGTTTTTATAGTACATTTGGGAACGCCTTGCTGCTGGTTTTAAACACAAGAATTACCGATCCCGAGAAGGAGTCTGTTTGTGTCTTATTGCTACCTTAAACATGTAAGCTTTTTGTTTCTATGGAGACGTAAGGGTTCTATCCTTCTGAATGTCATTTTCCTCTGAAACTAATACTTTAGGAAGTCTGATTCAATTAATAAATGGGAAAAATCAAACAACTTGTGAGCTTTCTGAAAGAAAGACTAAAAATATAGTATTTTTGTCTTATTTAAAAGTAGACGAAGGACTAGTAAGACACAGATGGAGCTTGATTGATGTAAGTTTGTATTTCAGCAATGATAAGCTAAGTTCACTTGTGCATAAAGTATTTTCTGTTTTTCTGTAAAAAAAAATACATGTAACTTTTTTTTTTGTTAGTTATGGTGCACAACCATTAGTCCTCAGCAAGTTGGTACCACATCTGTGTACAGCGTTTGGTGACTCGAATAGTCAGGTAAGGATTTCATAGCTTACTGGTGCTTCAATGACTATACGTTGACAGAGGAATGAAAGCAAAATAAATGTAGGCGCTTAAGAAAAGCCAATAGGCTTGCTTGTATACAACAGATCATTATTTTCTACCATGAGGAACAATAAACCCATTTTATTCTGAATCACTGTCCATTGAAAGATAAAAGTAGAATTGCAAAGGCAGCAGTGTTGCGATGTACTGGCTTCTTTAGTTTTGTCTTCAGACGTTGAAACTAGTCATTACTGAAAATAGTTGTTTCTTTTAGAGCATGTTGAAAAAAAAATTTTGACGTGAGACCTGTAATAGTCTGCCAGATTTGCTAAAGATAACTTCATCGTGTGCAGGACAGGTATTAATTTCCTAAATGGAGCCCAAATGGTGTTTGAGCACATGCAAGGACTGTAGTTAAAATCAGTTAATTAAGCAAAAACATCTGCAGTGAAAATCAAGATGTAGTTCATAATGGTGACATCTGAAATTCAGAAAACCTTCAAATGGAAATGGATAAGATCTCTCTTGACTTATCTGAAGTTGTGTTTGAGAGAAAAGATGAAGAATACAGTAACGAAGGTAGCATTGGTACCTACAAGGTACCTACAGCATTGGTAGGAGATGAGCAAATAAACAGGATGGGTCTTTATCCTTATTTTCTGGGTGCAGCAAAGTCCTTGTCTCCTCTATATAGCATAGCATTGTTCTATTCTAGAGAAAATCTGGTAAAAATTTGTTGACTTTGTTGATCATTAGTAAAGATGTAGTTAATTTCTTGATAGAGCAATTGGGGGTTTAGTTGATACTGTTACAAAGAATACTAAAGTAATTCCAGTAATTCTTTATAGGGAATAATGGCATTTACTAACATGCGTTTTTGGCAGTTTTAATTGTGACGACTATGGTTTAAATTTTTTAAAGAGGCATTCCATCTCCTTGCTTGAACTGTTCTTTCCCTTTCCCCTGTCTTGTCTTACTCCCTTTCTTGTGCTTATGTGATGCCACATAATTCCTGTTGAAAGAATTAAAGAAAACGCTGATGGCTTTGGCCCACTCTTGTGGGAAGTCAGGTCCTTAGTTTTCCAGAAGGGCCTCACTGCGTGTAGAAACAGTTGAAAGCAAGATGAAATGTCAAGACTGAGTGCAGGGACTAACTTTTGGAGATACTGCCTACTGTGATAGAGTCCTAAATAAAGTGCATTTTTTTCCACAAATATTATTCTCATGTCAATCCCAGAAATTCCCTCTAGAGCTGTTATTTCGGGGGTTTTTCATTTACCATCTGGAGATGCTCTAACGTGGAACAAATACGACTTTTATTTCAAGATGGTATTTCCTTTCCCTTTTATCCTCACTGTTTCAACTGTTTTGTGAAATGTGTTGGCATGCAGGTCGGTAGAAACTGTAAGATCAGTGGATTGTCAGCAATTGCTGTTTTGGTTTCTGTAACCCTGAAATTAACAATTTAAACACTGTATTCACAGGTGAGAGATGCTGCCATACTAGCCATTGTAGAGGTTTATAGACATGTGGGAGAGAAAGTACGAATAGATCTTACAAAGAGAGGAATTCCTCCTGGAAGGTGAGTTAGCTGTTTTGATTTGGTAACTCTGAGCCATTCTGTGTTACTGTTCCGTATCAGAACTTTAAAGTCACAAAAAACTTTGTTTTAAAATTATTACAGTTTTTATCTTCTAGTTAGTTTTGCTTCCATCGTGATGTTACTAGTGTCCTGACTTTCTTTTGCTGTTGTCTTTTATGCTTAGAAGAGGCATGCTGGTGTATGATGAAAAGCAGCGTTACATTCGCCAGTTAAAATCTCCTGACTTTAGGAGAAGCTGGGAGCTGGACAGTAGTAGAAAAATGTTTTAAAATTAAGCAAATATATACTGAGTGCAGCTGGGAAATAATTAGAAAATACTTGAATATATAATTCTTGTTCCTTATTCTGGAGTTGCTCTTTAGCCTCAGTGTAGAAGAGTCTCAACTGAAGCACTTAAATCAATACTTTTCATGTATTGTGCATGTGTGAGAGCACACAAGTGTGAGCGTGCAATGAAAGCACAGCAAATCAACAAGCAACTACTTTCTTGAAGATAGTTATAATGAAAAAATTGTCCTCCCTTCCTTCTTGCTAATTACATCAGACCAATCCTTTCCACCCTAGATGTCTGCTTATGGACTACAGTTAGATGAGGGGGAGGTGCTTTTCAAAATAACTACCTCCCAGTTCTGAAGTTGCAATTCTGGGCTTCAGTGACAAAGGAGTATTCAAAAGGAGTGTTCGTTGATCTAACTGTTACACATGCCATCACAGGACACCGGATGTTTCTTTCAAAAGGTGCAAGGAAGTTTTGAAAACGCGTACTTCATTGGTCCTTTCTCTTTCTGAAAAGCAATTCTGATCTTTAAAGGCCGGTCTGTGTTGTGTGTAGATTAGTTTATATGAAATAAAAGTAGCCATTGCTTTGCTGCTGCCTTGGTAAGGATTTTTTTAATGAAGAAAGCAGGACAGAGCTTGAAATTGTACTTAGTGTGAAACACTGTTTATACAAGAAAATCTTTAAAATTCCTTACTAAAACAATTTACACTTTTTAAAATGTGTTAGCCCCTTATCAATTAACATACCACTTTATTTTGAGTCTTCATCTCACTTCTTGGTTTTGATAAAGCTGAACACTTTTACTACATGGGTGTCAGAGAGAATATCAGGATGGATACTATGCCTCATCAGACCCTTCTAAAAAACTTTTGTTTTTAATGATGATTGCTAGAGTATCAAAATATCAGGAGAATGGTATTGAATTTATTGTTTCACATTCCAGGCAGAGTTCAGCCTTTCTGGACAAAAGCTTGCCCTGCCTATGGGAATGGGAAGTTGCACACATTCTCTTCTCTTTAATAGCTGTCACAATTTTAGACTATGAAGAGATTGTATGGTTACCACAGACATTTAAGCTTGTATTATTAATACAGTTCCAAAAATTGAGTTTCATAGCATATAATTAGAACATAGCAGAGGAGATCCTTCTTGCATTAAGGTAGGGTTTTGGAGATCTTTTGGAACAGAGAAGAGTAAGAGCAAGAGTGCAGTTAACAGCAGCCTTTGTTTATACTATGAACGTTTGGTGTGGCCATAAATTTAAGTTCAGCACTCATCCTGATCACATTTCCATGTCATGCAAACTGGGTAAATCTTGGGATCCAAATAGGATTAAACACCACAGGAGCTTTGTGTCCTCAGGACAATCAACAGCTTCTAATTTAGTTGCTGTAGGTGCCAAATTGTTATTTCTACTGTCTGAATCAGTTGAATACAAAATTACCTCTGATTTGAAAGCATTCGTAGTTGTACCATTCGTATTTTCATAAAGAAGCAAGGCTGTACGTGGTGCATGTTAAATGGCTTGTTGCCAGTGAATCTGGCAGTTTTGCACCTGACAGTCAAAGCTAGTGTAAAATAATACATGAGCTGAGTCTCAGTGCTGTGTCCTTTGCAGTAGTTTTCAGGTTGGGATGAAGGGGGCAGTTATGATTTCCTTGAGTTGAGCATGAGGCCACTAGTCTCTGTCCCATCCATTGCTGACAGAAAGATGAGTTCCTGTAGTCTCTTCTTACTCTTTCACACAAGTAACAAGGCAGTTGGCAAAGCTCAGGAAAGGCAGATTAGCTCTATGGTAGCTCAGACTGTTGTTCCTTCAAAGGCAGACCTAATTTAAGACATTTCTTCCCCAGTGCCTGTCAGAAGTTTTCCCTTCACTTAGACGCATTAAAATTTTCATGTGGTTATGCAAGAGTTATGATCTGCGAGGAAAAAAAAACAACCCTTCATGTAGTGTATCATCATTGTTTTGAGGGGAATCTGTGTTCATATTTGTGTGTCTGGGTAGGTTTTAAGGGGTTTAAGTATTACAGATAATCCATAGTTCAGACACAGCTAGTTTCAGTTGTTGAGTTCAGCATTAAAGAACTGCACTGCAGCTCCTTCGCCGTATGACAGTGCATTAAAAATTGTGTGTAAACATAAATATTATCAGAAAACCCCGTTACTTCAGTATTTGGTGCACACATGATTTAATAGAATGTAGGCTTGTTTAGTTTACATAATAAATTACATAGTAGAGATCTGTGTGATGCTGCTTGAATGCACTCTGCCCTAAAGCAGTGAAAATAAGAGCTCACATCTGCTGAAAGGAAGGCAGCAAAGTTAATCAAGCATTGTTTTGATAAATTGTTCAACTTCCTTAAGTATGCAAATGGTATTTATGTGTTGTGTCTATATAAAGCCAAATGTAGTTAGTAATTTTATAATAGTAGGCTTAAAAGGTTTTGTAATCTGCACCCGATATGTTTGCCTTTGTGAAAAATACTGGATTTTCTAGAGAACATTATTGGACCTATTGGTGTCTAGGTAGTCAATAAAAGAAGACGGGATCTTAACTTTTGTAGTTCAACTCTACTTGCTACTACTGTATTTTTCTTCAGTGCATTTTTATTCTTTACAGAGATTAATTTGTGAGTTTGTTTATAAATGAAATCAGTGAGTTCCTCTTTCTATTTGTTATTTTTCAACTTACAAATCTTGGAATAATACCGCGCTTTTTGCCTGAAGCACATGCCTTTTTCAGAAAAATCAGTATCAAGTCAGTGGTTGGAAATTTGGATGTTGTTTCCCTTCTGTTGAAGTTGCTGCCGAAGAGGTTTGACAGTCTTTAGTATCGGGCCTGTAAGTATTAGTGTTAATACGTTTGTGAATACCGAAAGTGGATGTTATATGTCTCGTTCTGTGAACCGAGAATAATGAACAGGTTTTGTTCTATATGGGCCAAACTGAATTTGTTATGGTATGAAATCTGTGTGGCTGATCTTCCCTGAATGGAAATAGTGTAGATGGCTCTGGATAGCAGTTGCTTATTCTGAGTGTTAAAAGCTTTTTGAGATCTTTCAGGAAGTCCCCTGACAACTTTTCCCACTGTTACTTGAGAAACATAACTGTATAAAACCGGTTATTTGTTTAGTTCTTGTGTCTAGGGCCACAACTTCATATCCTGAAATATTAAAGCATTTTGCAGTGTACATTTCTGAATACCGCATTTTATGTGGTATGCACATTCTGCTTATCTGTCTAGTTCATGTTGTAGATGAGGTCCATCTGTGAGTTCCAGATGGGGACACATGTCTGTGCAAGATCTTTTTTTTTTTTAAAGGGGAAGTAAAGGGAAATAAGTGTAAGGTTTCACATGGGCCATTTCCTGCTTTAGACTCACTTTGGACATGAAAAGCAGACTAGTTACCACCCTTTCTTCTTCTTTATCCTCCTGCTATTGACAGGGGATTGGTGCTTTTTTGCCTCTTCATCACAAGGTCCAAACTTTTAGGTATCCCCCTCTTCCTGCCATGCAAACGGTTGAACTCCATCAAGCATGGTCATAAGTAACAGCTTTTCAGTCTAGAAGTGTAGTGCGTGTTCTTTGCTGGCGTTGGCATTTCCATGTGCGTGCATGTCAACTCAAGCTGTGTCTTAGAAGGGTACCTATTCCTCTCACTGAACGTAATCACCATAATATGTTAATCCTTTGGTACAGACCTGTCAGCTGCCATAGGAGAGGGTTTAGCAGGTTGCCAGGAGGCCACATTTAAAGTGCTACAACCTCATGTGTTCATTCATTCATTCATTCACTGAGACAACAACAGTCATCCAGCCCATGCATCAGTGGTCTGCTGTCCTGAACGTGTGTGTTTTGTCAATGGGAGTTTTTTCTTTACATATGTGAAGTTGCAGAAGACCCGTCTGTGCCTTTTTGGAGAAAGATCTTTCTATTCACTGGTGACATGGTATTTCTGTTGACTGCTGACTTCACTGATTGATAATGCATGTCACACCAAGGCTTGAGCTTGCAGATATGAGATAGAGGAGTAATAATGCTGTTCTTCTCAAAGAACATTCCTCATTGCTGATGACGGTGAAACCAGTCTTCACTCGGACCTGTAACCTTGCTTGGGTTCTTCTTGGACAGGCTGTCTTTTGCAGGAGCTATCTCCTTTAAGCATTCTTAAATTGGTTGTGGTTGCAATAATTTTAGAGACCTTAGCCCATGCTGCCTTGCTGCCCATGGCTATGTGAAGAAATATGAGCAGATGGTAGCATGAAGACCTGGCTGGGAGGAGAGGGAAGAAGAAACTTGTGGGAGTTTTTGTAAAATAGTAGTTACAGTTCCTGTAAGTTGTACTAAAGAGAGGGTTTGATCTATAGCAGCTCTTGACCACTTTGTCAGCTGTGTTTTAGTGGATTTTTTTATTTTGTAATTATAACAAAATACTATAGAGTATGCCTCTGCTCATAAAGACATACTTTGAAAGCTTTAGGAGTGGCAGTACCGTGTTATTCTCCAGCCTGCACCACTGACTACATAGCATCCAGTGCTGACAAACACATTTTTTTTAATGTTCATAGTTAGTACTTTATCAGACATTTTGTTCAGAGTGAGAGGCAGCAGGTGTATTATTAGAATGTATTTATAATGAAGCATTTTGGTTTTCTGTTTAAAATGCCCAGGAAAGCATTTTTGAAAACTAAGTTCAAAAGAGCAGGAAGTATTTTCTTCTTTTGTATTCTCTAAAATATCTGTGCCAAATGCATAACACCAGCCTAACAGGATATAAAAATTAAAGTGAAATTTTAAAGGAAATCTGTTAATCTCTCTAGTCTTCATGTTCAGTTTTGCTCAGGATAACAGTTTCAGCCTTTTGGATGTAGTGTTAAGTCCTCCTCATTAACTAGGCGAACTGTTAAGGCAGTGTTAGTGTGGAACCCAGCAGTGTTGAGGGGAACTTGCAATCACTGGTAAAAAGTAAAAATACTATGGTACATACGAAGCAAATGCATTAACTTTCTTTTATGAAAGCAAGATCGCATCATGCATTGCTATGTGTATTGATTCTTGTGTGAACTTTCCAGAAAGCACATAGCATGTCAATGGAATTCCATGTGTCGTTAGTAAACACTAGTACCCGAAAAGCATTTTATATAATAACTGTAGTTTTACTTCTGCAAGTCTAAGCACGAAAAACCAATTTCGGTGTAAATTGCCTTTGGTTTACAAATTGACCTTTCATTAAAAGACTGAGCTTTAATATTAAAGCAGTGTAGTCTGACGCTTGTGAATTGCTGCCATTTCAGACATTTTGCTGTGGCTGCAGTGGTTGTCAATGCAATGGTGGTGCAAAAGGGAGAGGATAAAAGGTTCCAGAGAGAAGGCTGACCAGTATGTTAGGGGAAGATTATGCAAACTACTACTGAGCTACATAGAGTTTTGAGATACACTGAAGTGGTAGAATAACTTTGTGTTATGGGTTATTGACTTACTAGGTTATTGAGGGGGTTTTTGTTTTGGTTTTTTTTAGATGCTTGCAGTAGGGTAGACTTCTTTGTGGAATTCTCATCTAAATCCGGGTAGTTCTTGTTGTGGGCCTCTTAAGTACAGAACAAATTTTCTCTGTAGCAGGTTGCTTTGAAGTATTTGGAAAGTAAAAATAATGCATTGTGAGAGTCCTGAAACATTGGGAAGTATGGGGAAAGGCTCAGCCTTTTATACTGTTTATGGTTTTTGCGCGTTCTTCATTATTAGATAAATGAGAGGCCAGTGAATGAAAGGGGCGTGCAGTGCGTCAGAGAAGGTAAGACTGTGCACCGCGAGAGCGCACAGCCTCTCTGCGCCGACCATTGAGTAAGTGGTGTGTGCATAAGGAAACGTTGACGTGAAATCTTTGTGTGTCTTTGACTTTGCTCCTTTGTGTATTGGGCCTTATTTATACCCAAGTGCTGTTCTTAGCCATTTTTCTTGGTTTGTCTTAAAGTAGTTTGGATTGTGAATTGTAAACAGAGCCTTTTTAGCTCTTCTAGCAAATTTTGAATTGGGTCATGTAGGCTGTAGTACTGGTGATGTAGCTTGACCTGTACCTGTCTGGTAGTTGCATGTGATTTGCAGTTCATACGTACCTCTGCATTTAAGGTCAGGATTCAGTCCTGCAAGTCTTGTAGCTAAAAAATTCACGTCCAAGTTAGGTTATTACCATATTCTGAGTAGTCTAAAATGCAGAAGAGTTTTTTGAGAAATGTAAGAAAATGTTCCCAATTGTTTGCAGTTGAACGTTGTATTATGTCAATACAAATCCATTGCTAGCCTGTAGGTCACATTTTTTCTGAGAGATATTTCCACTGTTTTTATTGCGTTTTCTGCAGAAGTGATGAGAAATGGCTGTTGAAGTGTTTCGCCAGCTTTCTTGCTTGAATAGCATTTTCTACCTTGTGGGACTAGATTGCAAATCTAGAGTTTTTTGGGGTTGATCTTGTTTGTTGGTTTGGGTTTTTTTGCTAGTTACATGTAGCTAAGCACTTGTAGTGTGTTTTTTATTGTGAGGGTTTAAATTAGTGGTGTGTGTATTGATCATAACTAAAGTGTTCAGTGTACCTTAAGTTTAGAAAAAAGTATTTCCTCTTTTTTTTCCGTGGAAGTGCTAACTTCTACGAAAGTATTTTCATAACAAAACTGAGGAAATTTTGAGGAACAAAATTTTTGAGGAGAATTAGTAATTGTCTCAGAATAATTTAAATAGTAATCCTTATTTTTTTCCCCATATGAACATTCCATAGTTCAAATTGTTGCATTTTAGTGTTGTGTATAAACAGGGTAATATCACAGTCATCTGAACCCAATATATACTATTACTGAACCTGAACTTCAGAATTTTGTTATTTTTAATCATGCTAGTAATGCTCAGTGTTGTACTCTACTAAGTTGACTTAGTTTTCTGTGCATTTGTGTGAAGATGCTCAACTAAAGAGGAGTCCTTTGGGAATTATTTCTGCCCTTAATCCCTTGTATACTCTGTATGACTGCTTTAAATATGATAAGCTGATTTCTGTTTTTATCAGTAACCTGAGGGATTTTGGAGATATAAAACTACTTTTGTTCTTTTTCCTTACAGGTTGCAAACAATCTTTGCAAAATTTGATGAAGTAAGAAACTCTGGAAATATGATTTTAAGTAGCATCAGTGGTGAGTATGAAAGATAATATATTTATAACCAGCTTTAGATTAATACAAGGTAAATACTTAAATGCTAGCATTACCAGTGTGAGATGGATGACTAGAAACATGTCAGTACTAAGAAAATGAGATACTTAAAGAAACTTACACTGTGTTACTGAGAGTAGCTTGTGGACCGCAATCAGAATGCAATTGGAAAAGATGTTGAAACCACATGGAAACAAGCAGTGAATCTTTAACAAGTTATATGCCTGCTCAGCAGAGGATACAAGAACAGTGCAAGTATTCATGCGTGGGGAAAAAAAATCAAATGTACTGTCATCCTATCTTACAGTATCTTTCCAAAAGAAAATAGTAGTTTAGTGATGAACGTGTTTGATTTCTTCTCGGATAAAACAATGAATAATGATTATAATACATGAAGTTTTAAATTATGGAAATAGATGACTGCAGCATTCAAAGACACTTAAATGTTGAAGTTAAGACTTTACTTTACTCTAACTTAAAGAGCGTGAGTTCTTTAGTTTTGGTGTATTTCATGAAAAGAAAGCCTGTTGCGTAGAGAATCCTTGGTGCTTCATACTGCATTCTTGATATAGTATTTTATAGTATAAAAGCATAGTAAAACCACAATTCTGTCTTAAAACTATAATTTAGGAGAAAAACCCTGTTACATAGCGGCACAACAGGGAAGGTGATGTGGCAGTGGCTTTAATACAGTTGTTTTTGAAAGCTTCATTGTCTGTCTTCTGCAAGGCATCACTAGATCTGGTTTTATAGGGGAATGTTCTCTGATGTTGATTTTCCTTTCAAAGCAACTATGCTGACTGAAAAGGAGGATCTGCTAGATCTGAAAAGTGTAACTATGCAAGACTAAAAATATTTTGATGAATGCATATGATTTGTTAATATACTAAAATAGACCTTTTCATTTAAAATACTCTCACCCTTAGAGTGAAAACAGAGGAGACTAAGCTCAAAGGAATGTGTTTGTGCAACCTTTTCTTTGAGGTGGTAGGAGTTTCTATGCTACATTCTGCTTTGAAATAAAACATTGCTATTCTTGAAAACTTGAAGAATAAAAAACCAGATTTGTAAAGTTTTAATATAAAAAACCCCAAGATAGTAATTTGGGGGAAAATGTTTTACATAAATGTTCTGTTAGATTGTAAATTTCCTCATTGCAGAAGAGTAAACCATTATCTTTTGCATTTCAGGTTAATAGTGCTGCATAGGTTTGAGAGGTTCAAAGATGCATTTTACATGTATTTTCTTCTCTTGGTATTTCTCAGGAGAATGGAGAAAGTTACACGTGGGAATGTAAATGCATTGAAATAGTTTAAATATGTATGACAATATAAATACAAGATTGCTGGACTAGTCAACATAGCACTTCTGAGCTTTTTGTCTCTCTTTTGAGAGAGTTGATTAAGTTTATTTTTCTTTTTATCTCATCTGTAAAATGCAGATACTAGTGCTGATCTACAGCAGTATAAACCATTTATTTTGTCTTGTAGGTGGCAATTTCTGTGCAAAAGTGGCTATAATTCTGTTTTGGTACCATAGAGACAGAATTCCTCTAATGCGTTGGTTTCACTGTTTTTCCTTGAACCTAGTTTATCTGTTGCACCCATTTAGACAATTTTTTAATGTTATTGAAAAGATAGTCTTCCATTGTTAGTGCTTCATCTTGGCTTTGTCCTTCATTATTCTCAGAAGGACAATTTGTATTTACCGCTTGCACATGCAGATTGAAAGTTACTGTTGAATTCCTGTGGCCTTGTTCCCAACTTTTCTTCTAGAAGCTTTATCAAACATCTCTGGGTAAAGGCCAGCTTTTAATGTCTAAATACATCTTGTTACAGTGTTGAGGATTTTTTTTGTGTGCTTTGGATATTTTGGAGTAGGGTTTGGGAAGGCATAGGAGGGGAATAGGGTTACACTTCCAAAGAGTGGGGGGAGGGTGCAAAAAACTGTTCAACAGGCTTTAATATAATTAGTCTGGCACAGCTCTGTACTGGACCTTTTCACCCGCAAAAGGAATGGCTTTTTGCCAGATTGAGTTACTTTCCCAAATAAGTTAACTGTACTGATGAGGGTTCTCTTCAGTGTGCGATGAATAGGGAAGGGCTTGCTAATACAACTGTCGAAGATGTCAGCTTCTTCATAGTCCTGAGTGAGACTGCCGTGGGAGTAAATCTTTGTTGTGCTGACCTAGTTTCTGAGAATTCAGAGATGTGACTTAGGATTCTTTCATCAAATAATATTAGTGTCAGTTGTTCATTCTTTTTATTCAGCATGTACTTAGGAGGGGAAAAAAGAAGAAAAAAAGACTCAAAACTTGCAGCTTTAAACAATCTGAATACAAGAATGTTTTCCGTAGTATTTTAATAATCAAAACAAATACATATTTGAAGAGAAGTTTGTACTAACATGATTGAACACATGACAGGTTTTAAAAACATTGTACTGGTATGGTTAGGTATGTGGGAGAAGTAAGAGGGAGGAGAGGCACAGATATCGTACCTGCAGTCTTAATGCACGCTGGTAGATTTAGTATCTTTAACTCATGGGTTACCATCTTCCTCTATTGAATCTGATCCCTGATGAAACTGTAAAGAGGAGGAGGGCAATGAGTTACCGTCAGAGACTGACAGATCCTTTTGGAGGGTGGATGAGGTAAAAAGCGTATTGAAACAAGTGTGGATGGAATAATTGGGGCAGGATGTAGCAAGGCGTTTCAAAAGCTAACGGATGAGAAGGCATGAGGGGACTGGGCAAGAGCCTTAGTGCTTTTGCTTGATGAGGGTGACTTAGCAGTATGGTATTACTCAAGCCTGTAACTTACCTCTCCAACTGACTTTTTTTTTTTTTAAAGATTATTTCCCCACCTCCCTTCCCCTACCTTCCCTTGCCCTCAGCAGTGGGTAGTAAAATCAGACATCATTTCTTCGCTGTGAATTTTGTGAATAAATTAGCTGCTATGAAAACCTTGGGGTTTGTTTACATTCATAATGATGTTGCATATTAAGAGAATCATGTTTGTCTGTTAAGCAAAATCTTACATGTGCTGGTATTTTTGCCCTCTCGCTCCACCAGCGATGTATGTATCCCTGCAAACTGGCGAAGGTTCTTTAAAGCACCTCCCCATTTTTCAGCAAATGAATGTTCATTTCTATGGAAACAGAACTGGCAGCCAATCTCAAAGCTGCAAAAGCAGTCGTTTCTGCTGCCTGAGATTTGTAAATACTGTTTTCTCTTAAGAGAATCTAAACAGACTCCTGTATTGGGTAGTAGTGTAAATTTTGAGACAGGGAATTGAAAGAAAAGTAGGGAAAATAATAATAATATTGAGCTCTCTGCCTCATTCAGCAGGCAGAGTGATTTGAGCTGAATATAAATTGTACATCTCTATTCAACCCACGCAATTTTCCCATTTGTAATGGCATGCCTCATAGCGTTCGCTTTACAAGCATAAAACATGACATATATGTCATGTTTGTGGGGGAGCTGTTCTAAGGGTCATAAAGATGCAGTTGAGGTATACGTTCTCCTAAAAGAAAAAGGCAAATAAAAAGCCATAGCACAAGCGTGTATCTGTTTTTCCACATTACGCTATTGTTTTTTATTTCCCTTTGCTGTTTTCTTTTTGGAAATACAGTTACTATGGAGACAATGACGACATACTCTGACAGAGCTCACCAGTGTAACGCAGCATGAATGTATATAGTATGGGAAATAGGGAAACGGGTGATAGCTGCCATGATGAGTTTATAGGGTTTTGAGCTACATGTCTTTCTTTTGCACGCTCATTGCGAATGGTCTGGATGTAGCCACATTATTTTAAATTTCAGCTGCTACCCTCGCTGGTTTATAATTTTAAACAGGGAAATTTTACTGACCAGTGAAGTGTTTGGAAGTAAAGGGAGGGCCTTGGCCGGCTGATGCTTCCACTGGTTTTTAAGGAACTCGCGTGGGTTTCTGAATTGTTGCTCTCCGGCGAGTGGGCGCTTTGCAAGCGCGGCGCAGCTCGGTGTCTGGTACGGTTGTGGGTCCGTCTGCATTTTGAGCTTTTCCTTAGGCAAGATGAAGTAAATTGGAACACTATACATACACTTTTTTTAAATCGCTTTATTGGACTGCACTTTTTCTACGTTCAGTATGTCACCTACAGCATTGATTTGGGAAATAAACTGTAAAGAGGAGTTCGGGTTTTGGGTAGGTTTTCATGGTGATGTCCATACCCAGCCATCTGTTGCACGCACGCTTTAAAGAAGCCGTTGCTCTTCCAAGTGTTGAGGGGATTTCCGAATCTCTCGTCGAAAACCATCCTTCTGCAACCAGCCCCCTGCCGCCCCCCGCCGTTTGGTTTGGTTTGTATCTTACTTATTTTCGTTTGCGATGGATTTCCGTTTGGGGGACGCCTGTCCCAACAAAGGCGGCAGCGCGCAGGAAGCAGGAAGGCTCCGCCATCGTTGCCCGTTGCGGCGGGGGGGGACGGGACGGGACGTCACCTGACGGGGGAAGTTTCTCCTCGCGGCCCTTACG